CCAAACCAAAAAAAAAAAAAAAAAAAAAAGAAATTTACGGAAGTCACCATTATGTCAAATGTACTTTCAAACAGAATCATATTCTATTTGTTGGTTAGTGTGCCCACTGTGTAGCTGCAACTGTGTTAAGTGTTGAGGGTACATATGGGAATAAAACATAATTTCATGGAAGTATGAATACATGAGGAAATTAACAGTATATGGAGAGCTGTATTTCAGGTATGCACAAGGTGTTAGGAAAGTACAGAGAACAAAATATAACAGGCCTGTGAGGAGTGGCCACAGAGGGCAAAGGGTCCGGAAAAGTAATTCTGAGATATGGTGATGCTTGAACTGAGAGTTTAAGGGTGATTTAGACAAAAGAAGAGAGCTGAAGAAAAATGTAAAGGCCTTCTAGACAGAGGAAAACATGAGATATAGCAGGGAGGCAAGAGAAGATGGCACGTTACAGGGACCAGCAAAAAGGTCAGTGTGGTGTAAGCAAAGAAAGCACTTGAAGACATGACTGGTATCAAGTCCAGAGATCATGCAGGCATCGGCTCTGATGGTTCTTATAAGGCAGGTCAAGGGTTGTGAATTACTTCCGAAGGCAAGAGAGAATCATGGAAAGGTTTTTAAGAAAAGCTTTATTTTCATATTTGCATTTTAGAAAAATTCTCCTGGCAGCAAAGTGAAGATAGATTGGAAGAGAGCCCGAATAGAGGAAGGAAAACTAATTAGAAGGCAGTTACAATGGAGAACCTTATGAGTTAAGGCAAGTGAGTACAAGAATGGAAAGGAGAATTGGAGAATTATTTAGAAGGTAAAATTAGTAGGATTTAGTGACTGATGTCAATCTGAGCATGGAAAGTCAGCAATAATTTCCAAAGCTGAGGGTTGTGGTGCTGCCCTCTGCTGAGAGGGGGAATATAGAAAAAAGAGCAAGAGAGAAAGAATTCCCTTTTAGGCATATGTTCAATTTTACATTTGAGACTTCCCATATATCATGGGGTTTCCTAACAGAGATAACCAGGTGGCTGTTAGAAACCTAGATTTAAACCTCTTAAAGTATAACTAGAAAATGGAGCTATCAACTTATGAGCATGTATATGGTCAGGTAGTATATGATAAATGTATATGGTCCGAATAAATGTGAGAAAAAAATAAGAGCTGAAAATGGAGGCCTCAGAAATTACCAGTATTTAATGTGCCAGGAAAATGGAGCCTCCAAAAGCTCTCGTAACATAGTGGTTAAAAAAAGTAAAAGGTAAAAAAAAATGTCATAGAATCTAATGAACAAGAGAGGTTAAAACAGAAAGACCTTGCACATAGAAAATGTCTGCAAATATCTACACCGAATTGTCAGTACTGCCTAGCTCTGGAATGTGGTGTTGAAGAGAATGACCAAAAAACTGGGAATTTTAATTTGATATTTAAGTTTTTAAATAAAGTATTTTATACCTCTTTACTATTTTTGCAACTTCTTGTGAGCTTATACTACTTGCAAGTAAAAATGAAAGTTATGTTAAAATGTAAGTTATAGTCAATTGAATATTAAAAATAAATCAGTCGAACAAGCTGCTTAATCAGAACAGAACGAGGAGGGAAAGGGCAACATGGCGTGGTCAACAATATTATACTGCAGATAGGTCAAGAAAGATGAGGACTGACAGCAGCCTTTTAGCTTGGTATTTAGATGTGCTCACAAGTGACCTTATTAAAAGCACTTTCAGTGAAAGGCTAAGGGCAGAAGCTTGACTGCAGTTGTTGGGAAGCGGAAAGTGAGGACATGAGGTGGCATAGTCATCACATCAAGGAGAACCTTGAGTGTAAAGAAAAAGAAAAACAAAGAGTTAGGGATCTAGGGCCCATGGTAAGTGAAATCTCTGCTCAAGATCCTTATGGTGGTGAGAAAAAGATCCATGCTAGCTACCTTACTGCAAGTCACCCAAGAGTGTGAAGTAGCGTGAGGAGCCGACTTGCAGCCCCCAGTCATTCTGGATCCCAGCTTTCCTAAAACTGGGATTTGCAGGAAGTTTTGTAAGAAATTTAAGAAGTCACGCAGCAGGATTTCTTGGAGGGAAGAGACCTGAGCTTATTTATATGCTGGAGGTAGGCACCAGTATACACGCAAAAGCTCTAAACTACAGAAAAGTGTTAAGGTACTTATAAAGAAACGTACCTGGGCTTCCCTGGTGGCGCAGTGGTTGAGAGTCCGCCTGCCGATGCAGGGGA